TCGGGAGGCTGACGCGCAAGAATCAGTTGAACCAGAGAGGCAAAGGTTGCAGTGAGCTGAGTCGTGCCACTGCATTCCAGCCTGGGCAACAGAGCAAGACTCTGTTTCAAAACAAACAAAAAAATTATTATTTAATAAAAATTATTATTATTGAATCAAAAAGTTTAAAAAAGAGAGAAAAACGTGCAAACTAACTTCTGGAACATTTTTTTAGAGTATCTTAAAATAAATTTAAACTAATTTAAAATAAAATAATTTTAAAAGTAGGAACAGGCCAGGTGTGGTGGCGCACGCATGTAATCCCAGCACTCTGGAAGGCCGAGGCAGGAGGATCACTTGAGCCCAGGAGTTCAAAGCTGTCTAGCTTACATAGTAAAGATTGCATCTCAACAAAAAAGTCAAAAGAGCCAGGAGAGATGGCGTGCACCTGTAGTCCCAGCTACTCAGGAGGCTGAGATGGGAGGATCACTTGAGCTGGGAGGTCAAAGATGCAGAGAGACATGATGGCACCACTGTACTCCAGCCTGGGGGACAGAGCAAGAGCCTGTCTCAAATAAATAAATGTGACATAAACATTAAAATCTGCTCAATACAGTATCATGTAACTATGGGGACTCTTTAGCATAATATAGATAAAAAGTATAAAACATATTAAGTAGGAAAACTATATATCTTATTCTATTATGTAATGCTATAATTACACACTGGTAAGATGATATAATGGCAAATAAGCTGGAATAAATTTGAGTACGTTGATTAAAATATGGATGAATATTTCTCTATCTCAACATTCTGTAATATTGCTATAATTTTACTTATGCAATAAATCTTAAGATTTCACCATCAACACTATGTTGATAGCTAAATTAACGAAATCTTTGAGAACGATATTTTCAGATAAACACACAAAACAGAAAAAAAGTCTGGATGAACTGCGACAAACAAGCATAACCTGCCCATGTGATACCTGCTTCCTCCACATCTCCCATTCCCTACCTGGCACTCAAATCCAGGTTATCATCACTCACCTCCCAGACACTCAACAACAGCCTCCTAATTCGTTTCTCTACTTCCAGTTTCTTAACAACTCCCACAGCAATCCATTCCCTAAAACTCGGCCATAGAGAGTTTTAAAATGTAAGTCAGGGCCAGGCACAATGGCTCATGCCTGTAATCCCAGCACTTTGGGAGGCTGAGGCGGGTGGATCACAAGATCAGGAGTTCGAGACCAGTCTGGCCAACATGGTGAAACCCCGTCTTTACTAACACTACAAAAAATCAGCCAGGTGTGGTGGTGTGCACCTGTAATCCCAGCTACTCCAGAGGCTGAGACAGGAGAATCACGTGAACCCAGGAGGCGGAGGTTGCAGTAAGCAGAGATTGCACTCCAGCCTGGGTGACAAAATAGTGCCATCTCAAATAAATAAATAAGTAAGTAAGTAAATAAATGTAAGTCAGATCATGTCATGCACTCTGCTTAAAATCTAAGAACTAATATGTGGACCTTCACATGATCCTGACGGTAACAAACTGTAAAATAAAAATCTAAAAGTGACATTTGAGACAACAAAAAATTTGAACACTAGCTGGATTTTGATGATATTAAGAAATTAGTTTTACATTTTAGGTGTAGCATTATTATGATTACATTAGATACAAAAATGTTTCTGGATAAAATGACATCTGAAATGTGCCTAAAACTTGTATGTGCCCAAAACATTGGCGGAGCCCCTCGTCCTGTGGCAGGGCCCAGGCTGAACACTGGGCTTGGGGGTGGAGACGACAGGGTCCCTCTCTAGCTGCTGGTACCCAATGGGCTAGTGACTGTCACTGTGCAGGGACGGTCTGCCTCCATAAGGGTCTTTCCCTAGGCTGTGAATTCCTAGGGGCCAGGACTACATCTAGGCCGGCACCTATAACAGAGAGGCCCCAGACCACTGGGTCTGTTGGATGGGGAAGAAGGGGAAGGGGAAATGAGGTTATGCAAGTCTAGCCATGAACTGACCACTGACTCTGGATAAAGGTTAGAGCAGGTTAGGTCATCACGCCGTGCTATTTTGTGTGTTTGAAACGCTTCGTGATCCTTCTTGTGCTCAGAAGAAAGTACCTCCAGACTTTACATGGGCTGGTCTCTGCCTGCCTTCAGATGAAGATATTTCAGCATGCTTTTTCAGGCTGATACTACCGAGATCGGGAGGAACAGCTATCTTAACATTAACATCCCTTTTTTAAAAAATTATTTCCATTTTTATTTAATGTTTCCAAATATAAAAAGTCAAGATGCTAGGCCAGGTGCAGTGGCTCACGCCTATAATCCCAACACTTTGGGAGGCTGAGGCAAGCAGATCACCTGAGGTCGGGAGTTTGAGACCAGCCTGACCAACATGGAGAAAACCCGTCTCTACTAATAATGCAAAAATTAGCCAGACGTGGTGACACATGCCTGTAATCCCAGCTATTCGGAAGTCTGAGGCACCAGAATTGCTTGAACCCAGGAGGCAGAAATTGCAGTGAGCTGAGATGGCGCCATTGTACTCCAGCCTGGGCAACAAGAGCAAAACTCCACCTCAAAAAAAAAAAGTCAAGACGCTTACACCAATTATCTCAAATGAGATAAAAGCAATTCAGTGTTTTTAACCATCATCTTCCTCCTTCAGTTCTGATACCTTACACAATGGTATAAGGAACAAGAAAATGGTGGCCGGGCCTAGCGGTTCAAGCCTGTAATCCCAGCACTTTGGGAGGCCGAGGCGGGTGGATCACAAGGTCAAGAGATCGAGATCATCCTGGCCAACATAGTGAAACCCCATCTCTACTAAAAGTACAAAAATTAGCTGGGCGTGGTGGCGTGCGTCTGTAGTCCCAGCTACTCAGGAGGCTGAGGCAGGAGAACTGCTTGAACCCAGGAGGCGGAGGTTGCAGTGAGCCGAGATTGTGCCATTGCACTCCAGCCTGGCGCCTGGCAACAGAGTGAGACTCTGTCTCAAAAAAAAAAAAAAAAAAAAAATGGTATAAGGACAGGAAAATTGGATGGCATGTACCTGGTTAGAAAATGTCATCTGGGCCGGGTGTGATGGCTCACGCCTGTAATCCCAGCACTTTGGGAGGCTGAGGCGGGCGGACCACAAGGTCAGGAGATCAACACTATCCTGGATAACACGGTGAAACCCAATCTCTACTAAAAATATAAAAAATTAGCCAGGCATAGTGGCACACTCCTGTAGTCCCAGCTACTCGGGAGGCTGAGGCAGGAGAATCACTTGAACCTGGGAGGCAAAGGTTGCACTGAGCTGAGACTGCACCACTGCACTCCAGCCTGGGCAACAGACGAGACTCCATCTCAAAAAAAAAAAAAAGAAAGAAAAAAGAAAATGTCATCTGTTTACAAAAAACAGCATGCAGCACAGTTTCTATTTTGTCTGCAGTCAATTCACAAACTACTTCTTTAGGTTTGTTCAGGAGGCGCATAGAAGTGAAAATTTTAGCTGCCCAGTTTTTATTCAGCTACCCCAAAAAAACCACAAATGACAATCCTAACACTTCAATCTTCAGAGGGTTGAGATAGTAGACATTATTTGTTATCTTTCATAGATTCAACTATTTAGCCTGAAAATGTTAATTTTTTTCTCTTAACAGAGATAAATCTTAGGGCCTTTCCTCTAATTTTGCTAGACTGGGTTCCAGGAAACCATTGAAGAACCTCTCATGTGACATTTAAAGTGTGAAAACTGTAAAAAAGTACCCCGCTGCATCATACAAATTTTGGCTAGCTGGACAAAGGCCAGCTGGTTTGCTAAACGGCACTGAAGAAGATCCTGACCGGATAGCACTACTCAGTCCAAACAACATCCCTTTCCTAATGTCCCAGAAGACATCAGGCTGCCTAGCACGTTATTTACTGACCCAGAAATAACAAAGAGTATGCTGGAATATTCTTTCTTAGCAGAAGTACTGCAGCCCCAGGATGATCCATCTTTATTAATATGTACCTAAACCTCAGGTCAGAAACCAGACACATTTTTGCTTCTCTGAAATATATAATGAGGTCATTCTGAAACTTTTGGACAGATCCAGTTATTTCTTGGCACCTCCCTTCTGGCACAGATATCTTTGCTAATGGGTAACTATTCCCAGCATTCACATGATTTACTTTTGCAACCCTAGAGCTGAACACAGAAACCTAATGCTGAAACAAGGAAGCAGGACCCACTGAAGAAAGCCTCTGTATAAATGCTTGCTAGAGGACCCAGAGGTTCTTGTCAGATTTCTAACACTTTGAAAACATTCCTCAGAAAACACAATGATTGTCAGCTAATAATGAATTACTGCTCCATAGAAAAAAAGTCAGGAGATAATGAAAGTGGTACCCCCTGGTAGTGTCCCTGGCCACCTGGCACCCAACTCCAGAGAGCTTTTGGAATTGTCAATAGGAAACCAAAAAGAGAGGTGACCCTTGCAATATCTTCCCTTATTTCTACTAACTCCTGATGCATAATAAATTTGCACTGGAGACACTTTCCACATTACACACAAGGTACCAGAGATTAAAAAATACAAAGAGTAGGATTTGACAGACAAAATGCTCTTAGTGCATGACAGAACTCTACTTACAGTGTATCAGCAGGGGGAAGTGTCCATGCATGGGAGGTAGAAAGAAGAGAGAGAGGATGTTATGACTTGAATTGTGTCCACTCCCCAAAATTCACGTTGAAGCCCTAACCCCCAGTTCCTCAGAATATGCCCTTATTTGGAAATACAGTCACTATAGATGTAATTAATTAAGATGGGGTCCACAAGGTGGACTAATCCAAAATGACTAATGTCCTTATAAAATGGAAAATGTGGACAAAGAGACACACACAGGGATAACTAAGTATAGATGAAGACAGAGGTTGAGGCTGCGCTTCCTCAAGCCAAGGAACGCCAAGGACTGCCAACAACCACAAGGAGCTAGAGGGTGGGGCCCATCCTCCCTCATAGCCTCAGGAGGAACCCACACCCTGATCTTAGACTTCTGGCCTCCAGAACTGTGAGATGACACATTTCTGTTGTTTAAGCCCCTGGTTTGGTCTGTGGCACGTTGTTACAGCAGCCCTGGGAAACTCATACAGAGGGGCTGTCAGGAAAGCTTCAAAGAGATGATTTCAGAGGTAAAACGTGTCTGCCAGCTGGCTTGGGGAAGGCAGCAGTCAGCTGGTGAAAACATCTACTGAGCTTTAAGGAATAGCACAGAAGAGACAGCAAAGTAAGTGCAGTCAAACTTCCTCTGATTTTACACCCAGTGTCTGGCACCCAGCAGGTGTTCCACAAATCTTTAATGACCTAATTTAACTATTCTCTCTATTCTAAACCTTTCAGGCCCCACTCACTCTCAATATCCTACTCAAATGCTTCCTGCTCTGTGAAGGTTCCCCACACCCCAGGCCTAGCAACTGGCCTCCTGTGTGTCAAGAGACACTATTCCTACCTCTCCCATGGCCACTTTCAAACTAAATTAAAAAGACCAAATTACAGGTTTTTAAATTACCTGGATCCATGCTTCTTCCATCACTGGTCTGTGGGCCTCTGAAATACAGGGGCAATACATTTCTAACTCATTTTTGCACAAGTGCCCTGGGAGAGTGTTTCATACATAGCAGGAGCTGAACTGAGACTCTGTTTGTTCTTGAAATAAGGTATCTACTACAAGGGACATCTAACTTCCCTGGGACAAAGGGCTCCAAGAGGTCTGCATCCAAAATAAAACTTCGTCAAGAAATACGCAGTGAAACAGAAGGCGGAGCCTTCGCTGGAAAGAGTAACAAGATTGTAAACAGACTTGGGGGCTCCAACACTGACGACTAAATCCAGGCAAGGTCCTGGGAGTGGCGCAGCAGTCAGCACACACCCTGGCCAGCACCTTCAGCAGAAGAGACATGGATGCCCTGACCAGAAATTCACTACAAACACTTGGAAACCTGCAATACTGGAAGGCTGTAGCGCGAGCCAATGAAAAGGAAACCCCTGTTATCTACTGGCAGAAGGGAGCCCAACATCTGGCGCTAACTCCCAAATAAAACAGCATGACCACGGTAAGTTAAACCATAACATAATAAGTAAGTAACTCATTGCTTACATTGCTAGCCTAATGATGTAGTTCTCCATTACCTTAAGAGAGGACACCCACCTTATGTTGAAGGTTCTTCCTCACAGCTTCAGGCTGACTGAAAGTGCCCTGACCTCAGAGCTCAGGGCAATCAAAAAGCCGTTAATTACTCTGATCGGATCATTTCTATTCCTGTGTCTCCAGATGTTCTCTTGAAGAAGCAGCTGCTCAAAAGACCCCTTTGAAACAATCACAGCTAACGTTATCACTGCTTACTATGTGTGTACTAACTCATTTTTTCTGCAGGTAAGATACAACACAGTTAAGCAGCCAGTAGTGGGGTTGCTGGAACGTGAACTCAGGCTGCCTGGCTCCAGAGCGCCTCCTCTTCCCTCCACTCCACATTCCCTCTGACAATCAGGATGTCTCAGCGCAGCTCCAGTTAGAAACAAAAGCAAAACGCAGAAGTGAACCACAGCAATGGGTCCCAGCCTACTCAAGATGGTCCTCCTGCTTCCTCCCTCTTTTATGACGAAGGGTTAGTTAACGGCTTCCCAGCCTAAATCTACATTTTATTAAGTCTTGTATACGATCATATAGCTGGTGTTGTTTTTCTTTTAACTGCAGCATTAATTAATCCTGGGGCATATTATGAGAGATATTCCAATTACTTGCTTAAGGCTGAGTAGGCAGTAAGTGGAGAAGCAAGAAATTGAAATCTGAAATTAAAACTATAGTCTGGAGACTGTGCTCTTCATTGCTTCTCATTAAACTGTGTTCTTGCTGACAACAGGGCTCTCCAGTCCAAGGGTCAGTACTGAGCCAAAAATCCGAGGCTGGTTCCACTTGCACTCTTGTAATACTTCAACACGCATGAAGTTACCTCACCTGTAAAGTAAAAACAGCTCCCCATCCCAAACTCCAAACCTAATTTTTCCCAAACCCAGTTGAGGAAAACACGGCTAGAAAATGCAAGGTATCCAGAAAAGTGATCAGGAATTTTGTAAGACACTATGAAGACCACTGCAGACAACAATGTACTCATATACTAGCTGATTCCAACCACCCTGCAAGATTCCTCCACGTGCAAATGAAAGACGGGCTCCAAATTTTTGTGCTTTTTAAAAATTTCCTTCTTTTTCAGACAGGGTCTTGCTCTGTCATCCAGGCTGGAGTGCAGGGGCGTGATCTTGGCTCACTGAAACCTCCACCTCCTGAGCTCAAGTGATCCTCCCATCTCAGCCTCCCAAGTAGCTGGGACTATAGGGGCATGCCACCATGCACAGATAATTATTGTATTTTTTGTAGAGATGGGGTTTTGCCAATTTGTCCATGCTGGTCTTGAACTCCTGGGCTCAAGCAATCTACCCACCTCAGCTTCCCAAAGTATTGGGATTACAGGTGTGCTGGCTCAGAGTTTTAAGTACAAGAGGTCTCACAGTAAATAAATGGCCATCTCAGAACCTAAATCCAAGACTACTCACTCTCAATGCCAGGCTCATCTACTGTTATTATAGCACGAGAAATCAAAACGTAAACATGGAAAGATCTAGCAGGCACACTGGGGCTCTTCTGTCTAGTTCAGTACCATCTCCCCACTATTTAGCACACAACAGGCTTCAGTAAATATTGGTAAATGAATGAATGATAAAGGAACACAAAATCATTCAGCATTACTAACTCTAACAAAATGTGCTTTCATCCCCCACCCCCAAGAAAAAAACTATTTAAAATAACTTCCAGGCTGGACACAGAGGCTCTCACGCCTGTAACCCCAGCACTCTGGGAGGCTGGGGCAGGCAGATCACCTGAGGTCAAGAGTTTGAGACCAGCCTGGCCAACTTGGTGAAATCCCTTCTCTACTAAAAACACAAAAACAATTAGCTGGGTGTGGTGGTGGGTGCCTGTAGTCCCAGCTATTTGGGAGGCTGCGACAGGAGAATCGCTTTAACCTGGGAGGTGGAGGTTGCAGTGAGCTGAGATCGTGCTATGGCACTTCAGCCTGGGGATCAGAGGAAGACTCTGTCTCAAAAAATAAAACAACATCAAGAATCTTCAGATGGCCCATGAGCAAGTAACAATCGGTATACTCTTAAACAAGTTCTCTCAAGAAGAAATTCCACAAAGCAGACTGCAGTTAAGATTTCAGGAGAGAAGACTGGAGGAATAAGTTTATACATATGCTATCTCACAATTGAGCAAATAACTAACAACCCAAGAGACTCTGCTGTAGTTACTACACTAATTCGCATATTCTGAGTCACATGTCCTAAACACCTATATGTGAAAAAAAGCAGAACTCGACTTCTCTTCTGGCAATGTCAGCTGCTTTCTCTATTTCTGCTCCCTCATTATACTATTTCTGCCCTTCAATTACTACTAGAGTATTTTTATTTTTTAACTATAGTTTCGTTGAAGTCAAGAGATCTTTCAAAATCTTTTTACTGAAACAATTTTTTTTTTAATTTCACTCTGTAAGGGTGGTTTGCTAAGTAATTGTTTGAGTTGGATTTTATTTTTCTGGAGAGCAGGGGAAGGTGGGGAAGTCCGGCAGGATTGTAAATAAGAGAGATTAAAATACTGACCACAAAAAACAAACAGGCAGTTTTGACAGAATTTAGTGATCAACAACTAAAAGTTCCTAGTAGTTGGTTTATCTGGAAGAAGGAAGACAAACGATAAAAGGAAGCTTTGAAAATTACAGCAAGGGCTCATAAACTGAAAACACCACAGTGGGTAAGTATACTGAGAAAAACATTTATTCTGTACACACAAAGGCTGAAACATGAGCTATTTCATTAGCTCTGAAACTTCTGAAGATGGTGCCAGGTTCTCCTTTATAGAGCTAGGCAGGAAGCATTTAAAATCACAAAAATAAGCCTAAGAAGACTTGCCAAAGGTATACTCATTGAAAATTAATTATGTCAGCTGATGGAGATTTGAAAGTCTTTATGCTATCAAGTAATTATGAGTACACAAAATTTTAGATGGTCTAGTCCGCACAAAAGCAAGGCTATACTGTCAAGTGAAAAAAAAAAAAAGACAGAAAGAACAGTGTATATATGGTATCCTTTTTGGGAGGAGGAGGAGAATAAGGAGAATACTTATATTTACCTGTATTTGCATAAAGAAATGCAGGAAGAATATACAAGAAATTTACAACAGTGATTTACTTGTAAGGAGGAAGAGGGAGCTGGGTGGATGGAGACAGAGATAACCAGCAGATTCTTCATTGTTCATAGACACACACACACATATTTTTAAAGATTAATTTCTAAAAGGTAAATTTACAAAATAAAAAATTTGAAAAATAAACCAAGTCAGGCACAATGGGGCCCAGGAGTTCAAGTCCAGCCAGACAACAAAGCAAGACCCCATCTCTTAAAAAAAAAAACAAAACTCAAACCATTAAGAACGTAAATAAAATAATAAGCATCACTGAGAGCAACAAGCCCCCCTTCCCTGCTGAGATCAGCTCCACTCCCACCTCTTGGAGAGGAGGCTCCAGAGGGAGGCAGGGACTCTGACCAGAAAAGGGAAGGCAGTGTAGACAAGCACCTAAGAATGCTTCTGAGTGTAGGGCCACCTAGCAGAAGGGCACACAGAGCAGGACTCCAAGAATCTCCTGAGCTTGGCATCTCAGATGCACTCTAAAAAACAGATAGTAAGTATCACTGGGGGTATAAAATGGACAGAGGACGCTGCTGGAACATTGTATTTTCAGCAGCATGACGATACCAAACATTTTTTTAAAGCTTTATGTTTTACAATATAAATTCTGTTATTTAAGTGTTTTAGTAGGATAGCCTTATCCTGATCTCACAGGTGATAACATGCAGGTCCTTGGAGACTTGTGTCTTACTCTAAGGTAGAGATAGTAAGTTAACCAAACTCTCAGGTGATAATGTATAGGGGTTACATGTGCCCCACATAGTCTCCACTCCAAAATGATTCTGTTCATATCAGAATCATTTGTGACTATTTATTTAAATCAGTATTAGTCGATAAAACTGATTATTCCTTTTTCTGCGATTATAGAAGCCTAAGGGAAAAAAAATAAAACTGAATATTAATTTCAATCCAAAGTGGCTCCACTTCACAGGCACTACTTCCATCTTGATGAAAGCACTGGAGTTCCTGCTCCCTAAGCACAATACGGTTCCATCTACAAGGAATCAAACACATACGATTTCCTTCGGTGTTGTGGAACAAGAGGCAATGTTTACAGCTAAAGACTGGGCACTTATCACAAGCAGCCTTGAAGTATGTAGCTATCAGGTAAACACAGACCATCCTCCTGACCAGGTCCACATGTCTGAAGTCTAACAGCATCTCACTGTGACTGTGTCTGGTACACAGTAGGCGCTCAATAAAAATCTGTGGAATGAAGACTAAACTGAAGAGTCAGTAGACAATGACCGGGCATCAGGCCTTAGATAGCTTTTTTTTTTTTTTTTTAATAAGGAGTCTCATTCTGTCGTACAGGCTGGAGTGCAGTGGGCGCGATCTCGGCTCCCTGCAACCTCCACCTCCCGGGTTCAAGCAATTCTCTTCCCACTGTTTCCGGAGTAGCTGGGATTACAGGTACCTGCCACCACACCCAACTAATTTTTGTATTTTTAGTAGGGACAGGGTTTCACCACATTGGCCGGGCTGTTCTAAAATTCCTGACCTTGGGTGATCTGCCCGCCTCGGCTTCCCAAAGTGTTTGGGATTACGAGCGTGAGACACTGTGCCCGGCCGGGAGATTATGCAGTTTTATGTCTCCATGTTGTAAAGATCTCAGGAATAGGCTGGGCACGGTGGCTCATGCCTATAATCCCAGCACTTTGGGAGGCCAAGGAAGGCAGATTACCTGAGGTCTGGAGTTTGAGACCAACCTAGCCAACATGGTGAAACCCCATCTCTACTAAAAATACAAAAATTAGCCAGGCATGGTGACATGCGCCTGTAATCCCTGCAATTTGGAAGGCTGAGGCAGGAGAACTGCTTGAACCCAGGAGGCAGAGGTTTTGCAGTGAGCCCAGATCATGCCACGGCACTCCAGCCTGGGCGACCGAGGAGGAGAGACTGTCACAAAAAAACAAAACAAAACAAATCTCAGTAACAGACTGCTATGGTTTAAACGTGTCCTTCAAAAAGCAAGCACTGGAAACTTCACCCCAATGCAACAGTGATGAGAGGTGGGGCCAATCGAGAGGTAATTAGGCCATGAGGTGGCCCTCAAGAATGGATGAATGCCACTATGGGGGAGTGTGCTCGTTATAAAAGGGTAAGTTCGGTGCCTCTCTGCCCATCTCACCTTCCAGCACGGGATGATGCAGCAAGAAGGCCATCAGGAGATGCCAAGGCCTTGCTCTTAAACTTCCTATCCTCTAGAACCATGAGCCAATAAACTTCTGTTCATTATAAATTACGCAGTCTGAGGTACTCTGTTAGAGCAGCACAAAATAGACTAACATACAGACTGACTCTTTCATTTTAAAACTGTGAAAACTGAGGCTCAGAGATGGGAAAATTGCCATCAACACAGGGAGACAGCAGCAGCACAGCGTATGGTTGTAGGCTCAAAGTGTGTGCTTGTAGTCAGACCAATGCCAAGTCTTAAGTCCATTACACTGCTTGGGAGTTGTGTGATCCTGCACAAGCTGCTCATCTTTTCTCTGGTACTCGATTTCTCCATTATATAACAGGGTGTAGTAGCCAGGCAAGTGGCTCATGCCTGTACTCCCAGGTACTTGGGAGGCTGAGGCAGGA